CCTGCGGTGCCATGAACTCTTTCTGTTTCTGTTCTATGATGCCTCTTTCCCCACTACTGAATGAAACCTTTAGGAACAAGGAGCCAAATAAACCTTTCCTTCCTTAAAATAAGATAATAATAATAATAATAATAATAATAATAATAATAATAATAATAATAATCAAAAACTCAAACTTATGGTTTCCTATTACACATAGTCCAAACTCTTTACGTGAGAAATTTTGATGTGTGCTATTACATCCATCTACATAATGAAAAAATAGCTGTGATACAGGCTCTACAGTCTTATACATTTCCTGAATCTTTATCACTGTTTATTAAATTTAATTTTACATTGTTGAGCTCTTGAGTAATTCAAATAAATTGGATTACCCATTACTTAAAGAAATTATCACCTTTCATAATAAAATATGAAAGGTTCATCATTAGCTATAAAAATAATTTGCTTTCTTTATGGTGCAGTGGCCTAGTTCCAGATGTAGAATTTATCTGATCAGCAAATAATTGAAGTTGTCTGTGGTACAGACACACTGTTTATACCCACAGTGAAGGGGGCTGGGGATTTGGTTCAGTCGTAGAACACTTGCCTAGCAAGCTGGAAGCCCTAGATTCAGTCCTCGGCACCAAACACAAAAAATAAAAAAACCTTCCCTAAAAAAAATTCAAACCCCCCAAAAAATAATACAATAAAATAAAAAAATACCAAAACAAACAAGACCACTGCACCCACAAGGAAGATGGAAAGATAACAAGCTCTGACATTCCAAATAACGCAAACCAACAGAGAATGGCAACAGAGAATCCCAGGTCTTTTAAAAGCCATACTAAAAGATATGTTTTGTTGTTGTTGTTTGAGCTCCTTTCAGATGAAACACAGGGCAACACAGTGAGAAAATGGCTACTTGGACCCCTCAGAGTTGCTTTAAGAGTGTGTCTAACCTCTTCACTTAATTTGTTGCCCAACTGACACAAAACTCTAGGAAGCTGTCAAAGTAGTTATTCTAAATTTAGCAATTAAAGGACAGTATGGTAATATAAATATATTATTTTTCCAGATAAAAGAATCTATGTGTAATGGAACAGGTCTGTAGTCCTAGCTGCTCAGGTGGCTGATGAGGATAGCTTGAGCCCAGGATTTATTCAGGGCTGGCTAGTTGGGCATACCGAGAGTCTTTAAAGAAACCACAAAACACAAAACAAGACAAAAGGAACTTAAATTTCATGAATCGCAAGTGACTTCTCTAGGAGCATATGAAGTGACACAACGAAGGGCAGAATATCATTGTGTACAATGCTATGTATGAGAGAAGACCCCCGATCTCCTTTCTTAATATGTGTTATTAAATAATTCACAGATTATTTAATAATAATGCATATTTGAGCATCACAAATTTTAAATTAAAAATGCAACAACTTGAAGTTTTGGGGTTCATTATGAAATTCTTACCAAATGAAAGGATCACCTCAGATCTTCACTTTCGGAAACAACATGCTTGGGAGCTGGGGAGATAGCTCAGTGGAATAAGCGCTGCCCTGGCAAGTGCAATAGCCTGAATTCAATCCCCAGTTCCACCAAAAAAAAGAAGGAAAAAGACTTCACTGGCCTTATCAGACCCAAAAGCTACAACTCTTGTTGCATAGGTCCTGCTTTACCTTGGTCTTAACCATCCAGCAGAAAAGTATAAAAATGAAATATAAGAAGTAAAGCCATGCTGTTAGGTTGAGCTGCAGGGGACTCAGGTCAACAATATCTGACATTGCCAGTCAAGCGGAAGACCCAATACTATTATGGGCTACTGGACTCTTTTAGAATATTTTGCTGAGTTAACACACCTATAGTATTCAAATAACAGAACTTAACAAAAAAAGGTGATACAGATGAATGTCCATTTTGAACTTGTGTTTTCAAAGTGGTTAGGATAGATATATAGTTACATTCTTTTAATGAATAGAGTGATGTGTTCTAATAGTGTTTGTAGATAGGATATCATGTCCACATCTTGTGCAGCAATTAACCACTAGCAAGAATGTATGCAATGTGTGAATTATTGAAACTGTCCTACTAATTTGATTTGAAACTGTCTCATTGCTATTTGTTTATCAATAAAATTATGGGAAAAATAAATAAATAAATAAATTTTAAAAAGAAAACACCATGCTTGAGTGCTTGATCTATACACAGCTGGGGTGGTAAGCCCATGACTTCCTGAGAATATAATCATTTAATATATTTTGAAAAATATGTTCAAGTTATCATTCTGCAAACAGTTATTTTCAGACTAATGTTCATGCAAAAATAGTTATATTGTGTTACAATGAAATCTAATGGTACAATTTTGAATGAGTGTTATACATAACAAAGGAGGTCTCCCCTTGCTGCAGGTAGCAAAGGAGATGAATTCTCCATGGAGAACTTGAATACAATAAGAATAGGAATTAACAATGTGCACTGGTAATTTAAAACAAAAATACTCTTGCAAAATATACTTTGTCACTCTTAAGGTACAATTATTGGTGATCTACTATAGAATGTCAAATTAACACCCATTTATTGATTATTCTTTCATAAACCTTGTGCTCTACTTGAATATTAAATTGCAGAATTTCTGTAAGACATTTACTTTGCCTCCTCCAGTATGTGAGTCCAACTATACTTGTATATGTGTGAAGAAAAATGTATTCTTTTTCATTTCTATAGTGTCTGTGCATTCATTTTTTATGTACTATATAAATGTAGGGACATATAATATGGGACTGGATAACTTGAAGTTTTCTCAAAGCCATTTCAAGTTACTTTGAATGATTTTAGAAGATTTTACTAAATAAAAGGGAATTAATGGTAATTTTGGGGGAAGTCATATGGTTGAATATTGTGGACTTCTCAGCGACTTGAAAGTCCTGAGTATGATCCTAAGGAGTTGGAGATGTGGGCAGTATTGCAAATTCTTGAATTTAATATGAAATAAGAATTTAAAAAACTATGTCCAGCTTTTTGATAGCATAGCACATATCTCTTGGTTCATTTGAAAACAACTTTATAAAATTACAATTCATAAAATTATGATTGAAGATACACTGACAAATATGACCAAACTACCCATTAAAGAAGAACACATAAAATCATTTACTCAAATCATTAAAATTTTGTAGGAGTTAAAAAATTTACAATATTGCCAAATGCAGTGTCACGGAAATATACCAGTATGTATGTGTTTCCCCCTCTCAAAAATATACTGGTGCAACTAAAACCTTAGAGTTTTTATTTTTTCTTTTGTACAGTTAGTTTTCTATTGTTGCTAAAATAAATTCTCTCTCTCTCTGTCTCTCTATCTCTCTCTGTCTCTGTCTCTGTCTCTCTCTCTCTCTCTACACACACACACACACACACACACACACACACACACACACACACAGAGGCTCTTCTCTGCCTTTAGACTAGCCTTGAGGCCTTGAACTTACAACAATCCTCTTGCCATAGCCTCTGGATCTCTGGGACTACAGGCATATACCAAGTCAGGCAATACCCAGTGTATTATCTCACACTTGTGCAGATCGGGAGGTCTAAAATGGAAGTAATGAAGCACTATATTCTATGTCCTCTACGAAAGAATTTATTTCCTTGTCTTTCACAACTTCTAAAGTCCATGCTCATTTCTGACTTTTGGACTCTTTCTGTATATGCAACCCCAACAGGAAACATTCTCTATCTTTATATCTAATGTACTTGCGATATTATATGTCTGTGTATTTTTTATAGCACAAACACATATTCACATTCATATGAGGATATATAATCAGAATTTTCTCTCTTTTTGTTTAATTTGGAGTCTTGCTGTATTGCCCAGGGGGACCTAAAAAAACTTAGATTCAAGTGATCTCCTGCTTTAGCCTCCCACATAGCTAGGACTAACGACTGTGTTACCACATTCAGGTTGTCAGTGAGTTCTCTTTTTTTTTACTTTTCTATTGTAACTAAAAATAACTTTGTCATGTGTATAAGGGATAATATTAAAGACAATTAACCATAAATTAGTCTATTCATACCTTCTTTTCTTCTTTAAAGAATACAAAGTAGTAAGAAAAAAAATTGAAAAGCATTAGAAATGATACTAAATTACATTAAACAAATTAATAGGAATTCGATAATGGTTGCTGTATTGCTGTACTGCATGACGTTATCTTCAAACTCATTGTTTAGGTTATTAGATATCAACATGCAAAATTGATTTAAGAAAACAAAACGAAGGGCTGGGAAGGTAGCTCGGCAGTCTAACTGCCTGCTCGGCAAGCACAAGCACCCAGGCTCGATTCCTGGTACCACAGGCTGCACCAGTCCCAGAGTAGGTCACCATGCAGGCCACCAAAACGGGGGCGCAGTGGCACAGTCCTGTAATCCCAGCTCTGAGGAGGCTGAGACAGGAGTATCTGAGCTGTGTAGCTCGACCTTGTACCAAATAAATAAAAAAATGATTAAAAACCAAACCAAACAACAAAGTTATTAAAAATTAAAAAGAAAAAGAAAAAGATTTAAGCATTGACTGCAGCTTTCAGAAGACCATCAAAAAGTGGTAGTATTTGTACTTTCTTTTAACTGAAATAACTTAAGCAATAAAGCACACCAAAAGGGAAAAAATCATCACAAAACCTTCATTCCATTCATATTCTTTTCATATAACTTTTAAAAATTATAAAGATAAGAAGAAAAGTTTTCCTTAGGAGAATGTGCCATTTCAACACTCATATAATAAACTTTTTTTTATTAGCTATTCAGTAGGAATTAGATTTTTAAATACATATTTAGAAGTACAGCTCCAAATTCTTAACCTACTTTTACACTGTTAAAAAATAAATAATAAATAAATAAAATTAGATGTACTGAGTAGCTCCATTCTCAGCTGACTCCATTCTTTGCAGCACATGTGGAAACCTTCTTTCTGTCCCTCCTCATAAAACCCTAAGATCCATGACAAAGAGGAAGTGGCTGGCAGGGTGACCTACCCATGGGAGTGCCAACACCGTAACCTTTGGAGTCTATCAGGCCGCCGATCTGTGTCAGGTTGCAGTTCCGCTGGGTGACAAACTCGATGGTTGTTGACTCCATCAGGAAAGCATAATCGGAGGTGAGGACCCGCTGGATGCCTTCTTCGTTACTCTTCACAAGTACGGACTGTCGCCTGCTGCTCATAAACGCCCACATTTTGTCATACGTGGAGATTTTTGATTTCTAAGGGAAGTAAAAATAAATTTATTTATTTATATATTTATTTATTTATTCATTGTGTGTATTTCAGGGAAGGGTCTACAGGGCCTACAGGGTCTCACTCGTAGATCAGACTCAAGTGATCCACCTGTTTACAGCCTCTCAAGACCTGGGATTACAGGCACGTGCCACCACACCCAGTCTTAGTTGCCCACTCCATGCACCCCTGGAATGAAGCCTTCACAGCAGGCCTGGGGATAGAAAGCCTGGCTCCTGTGCCTTTTTGCAGGCACTTTAATCCACTGAGCTATTTGGCCAGCCCTAACAATAAATTTAACTGATAACAGTATTTCCCAATTCTGATGTGATTCTACAATATTTAGATAAAGCTAACTACCTTTGATTTACCCATACCACTCCATAATTATAGCACTACTAATAAACATAACTAAGTTAAAAATATGTATGAAATGTTTCTCATTGCAATATATTTTTAAAAAGCTATTGTAATCCATTATATTTCTAGATATAGTAGAACTTTAATAAATTAAATTATGAAAGAAGCAAGATTAATAATGAGTGTCTTTTTATATCTTTCATGAGCATCTTATATATTTTATTTCATGTTTGTAACATTACTATGACAAATTAAAAAGATCGACACTAAACAGAGATTGACACTGCAAGAATTTTTGTTTTTTACCAATTTGGTTAATTGTAGCGCAGATTTCATATTAATCCTCAGAGATACACAAAGTTATAGTTTGAAGAGATGACTAGAATTTGACAAAAAAAAAAGATTATAAATAAGGATGCTCATAGTTCCACTGAGACATAATCTGGACAGTATTACACCTTTTTATCTTACCAAGAGAACCAGAAATTTATCATTCAGACCTACTAACTAAAAAAACCTGGACAAATAATATTAAATAGATTTGTAACCAACTGAAAATCTCCACTAGGGTTTTACTAGCATTTCATTGTTAAAAAAATGAATTTGGTTCAGAAGAACTAATAAAGCATAAAAGTGCAAATGATTAGTATTTGCTCATTGAAAACTCATCTGCTGAACTCTCATCATTAACAATGCTTCTACAAACACAGAGATAATCCTGAAGCTATAAACACACAGAGGATATTTATCATACTGCTAGCTCTATCATAAAAAGTCAAAACTACATTGAAAGAAAAAAGAGAAAATACTCTTCATAGCTGAATAGTGTTTTCTTTTCTACTAGTATCATCACTAATGTCTTGTTAGTACTTTTTACACTGAAAGGCAGTTGTACAATGTTACTCAGAACATTACTCACAGTATTTTGATGCTACAGTGAAAAAAACTACCCTGATACATCTTTAAAATAAAAAGTAGAGGGGCTGGAGAGATGGCTCAGTGGTCTAAAGCACCTACTTAGAACAAGCTTGGCAAAGCATTGGGGACCGCGGTTCAATCCCCCAGCACCACATG